CCCCAAAACCCCAAAACCCCAAAACCCCATCAGTTAGAATCTAAAAGTAATATCGGAGAGTAAATAATTACAAATAAGTAAACTAAATTCGTATGTGTCTTGTTTTTTTAAACATAAATTGATTTGTTATCTAATGAAGTTTATATTATAAATGCCTATATTTGAAAAGATTCAGGTCACGTTCATAAATTGAAAAATATCTCTCTGAATTCATCATAAGTTAAGTATCCATCTTTCTTGAAATCGTGCTTATTCATGATCTCCTCGATTTCCTTCCCAGTGATATTATGGCCTAGCTTCCTCATGGCCTCAGATATGTTTTGCTTGGTTATTCGGCCACTGTTATCTGTGTCGAACTGTTTGAAAATCGCAAGCAACTTCTCCTCTGTTAAAATCTTCTTTACACTAATAGTTGCTGCTAAGAATTCAGTATAATTTATCTTCTTTACTCCGTTATAATCAACTTCATCAATGATCTTCTCGATCTCCTCCTCCTTGTAGTTTATATTTGAATGCTTAAGAGCACTCTTAATCTGCACGGCTGTCACAAAGCCTGTGCCATCCTAGTCTAAGTTCATAAATACTTCTCTAAGATGCTCAATGTCTTTGCTATCTGCCATTTTTACTAAAATATTCATGGCTGCCTTCTTAAGGGCAGACACTCCTCTATAGGCTCTAAGGTTGTTTACTATATTCTCGTCTAGTTTATCTTCTTCAGCACCGATCTTATTTTGTTTGAACTTGGGGAACCAAGGGTGCATCAAGGCGTCTACACCCTTGACTCTTTTTCTATAGTCGACAACGAGCATCTTTGTGATTAGGTCCTTGCATTCATCAGACACTTTTTCGAACTCCTTATGATTGAAATTAAAATCTCCCTTTTAAATCTTCTTAAATACTTGCTATTTGTTATCTCCTGAGAATGGAAGATAACCTGACACAAGCACATAAAGTAAAACACCCATAGACCATATATCGCAACTGCTATCATACTCACCATCAAGTACCTCTGGGGCCATGTAAAAAGGTGTGCCTGCAATAGTCGACATTGTAGAATATTTATCAGATACCCTTCTAGATAACCCGAAATCAATGAGCTTTATTTCTCCATCACGCCCTATCATAATGTTTTCTGGTTTAATATCTCTATGAACTACTCCTGAGGCATGGCAATGATTTATAGCTCGAAGTAGTTTTTTCATGATCAAAGCAGCCTCACTTTCGTTGAACATCTAATTTTTCTAGCTGGCGATCTTATCGAAGAGCTCTCCACCAGAGCAATACTCCATGACCAAGTACATGTACTTAACATCATCATACGTCTCATAATACTTCACTATATTGGGATGATCTAGCTTAGTCAGGATTTTGACTTCTTCTCTAATAGCTTCAATGTTATCTTTGAGTTTCGCCTTATTCAAAACCTTTATAGCAACTTTAAACGTTGGATCAGAAACGTTCTCGCTTAGGAACACTTTCCCAAAGGCTCCGGCACCTAATACCTTAGTTGATGATGATATCTTGTAATTCTGCTTCAACTCATGTACTCCATGATGATGGCCAGGTCCAGGGCCAGCACTGGATGGAGCTAAGCCTTTATCTTCTGTACTACTCTATATTGATTTAGCACTGAGACAACCCATTGAATCAAATTAAATTAGTTTATTTAATAAGATAATTAAAATGAATGATTTTATTATTAAAGTAATAAATTCCTTGACTTAGCTCAACAGGTTTTATAAATCAATCATAGCTAAATAGCTAAATTTCATTGCAATCCCTTAAGTATGATATCTCTGTTGAGAGGGTTGTATTTTGTGAAGTTAAAGTTCCTCTCAGACTGCCCCATCGAGAAGGCTGCATCCTTCTTAGCAATGCGATTAATGAAGATATCAGATGTATTATTGTAGGTGTGAGGGTTGGGTTTCTCATCTTTGACCATTTTCAATAATCCTCTGTCATTCTATTAAAAAGGTATTAGGATGATTGATCACTGTAATAATGTAATCTTACCTTTGGAATAGAGTATCTTGAATTATTTCTTACTGATGATAGTTATTCTATTAATTTGAGTTAATTTGCAAGGATTAACTTACTTATATTATCAGGGTTTTGGTACACTCCTGGTCCTGGGCTTTGTGTGCCTAATCTACATCTTTCTTAGCCAGCATAGGTGACTTTGCCGTGCTACTCCTTGTCTACACCGAAAGTGGAGCCTTTCTTGTCCTAGGTCTTGTCAATCTTATGCTGAATAGACTGATAGTACTCGTTTTTATAAATAGGGCCAGGATTAGTTTCATCTTCTTTCCCGGTCTTGTAACTTAACTTAGTTCCATAACCCTGCCCGATTTACTAAAAAAATATAAACATCAAATTAATGGAAAAAATCATAGCAAAATCATTATGAGAATAAACTAGGATCAGTCTTACCTTATAAGTATTGGTTTCCTTGTGAATTACTTCCTAAGAGTAAGATACAGGTCTAAGAGATTCGTTAATTAAGCGATAAAAATATTTACAATTAGCTTTTAAGTTCAACTTCTTCCTTGCATAAATGGAATCTTTGGAATGTACCAATTTTATAGTTTGGATCTTTTTATCTCACAAAGTTAGGCTCTGGACTGTAGAGAACAGATGAAGGCGAATCTTTTCCTTAAAATTCCTAAATATTTTATAAGTTTTTATTCTCGAAGGTTTCAGAAATTAGAAAAGATATTTAAGACATCTTGAACTGTTGTCAATTAATGAATTATGAAGTCGACACCACTTACCTTCTAAGTCTGAGGGAAATAAGGCAATTTGGTTTTATTTGACATTGTGAATGCTGGAGCATTTCTTCGGTTAGACTGGTATGATTTGCCAACTGTTAAGCTGGGTAGAGTATACTCTCCAGGACCAGTTACATTCAAATAGGTACTAAATGCCCTTTTCAGCTCCTTGTCACCTCCACCACCATTGTACATGTTTGTCATATTTGTTACATTCTGACTAACTGATTTCTTAGGAGAACTCAGAGCACTTCCAAATTTAGCATTCTCTACAAGCGTACATTAATCTCAAAATCTTACTAATTCTATAATCATCTGTATTTCTAGCTAGGGAGTTATCTAAACTTGTATTTTTATTTTTGTTATTGGTGGTTTAGGTCTTGTTCATTGGATTGCTTCTATGATTCTGATTAACACTTTAATTAGAATACTTCTATTTCATATTTTAACCGTACTCGGATGCTACTAAATAAAATTTAGAAATAATTTTTACCCATTGACTTTGTTGGTTGCTCTTCTTGTATAGGTTGAATATTGTTAGATTGATCTTGTTAGTTATCAGCGAAAGAGTTTTATTAACTCATAGATTTATTAATGTATAATTTTCTATTAATTTTTATTTTTTTACCTCTCACACTCACTCATTTTCAAGTATTTATTATTAGGGGTTTTGGGGTTTTGGGGTTTTGGGG